TGTACAACTTGAGTTATGGACATGAAAGGAATGAAGAATGTGAAACTTGTGTTTATGGACATGAAGTGAAGAATGTACAACTTGTGTTCTTGGAAGTACAGGTATTTGTGTTCAACATGTAAGAAGTAGAAAGTAAAAAGTCGTCTGAAAAGTAAGTAGTGGAGTAAAGTACTGAAACCAGAAACATGTATTTAAGTACAGTAACTCGGTCAATTTTGGGGAGGGGTTACATTTATTTGGTTTTTCATGCTCATTCTTTGTGTCGTCCCTTTCAGAATAAAAAACTACTTCCTGCCGCCCATTCCCAAGCCGCGAATCATCGGCATCGACCCGCTGCTCCTGAAGGTAACACACACACACTGACACACACGCACACTGACACACACACACACACACACACACACACACACACACACACACACACACACACACACACACACACACACACACACACACACACACACACACACACACACTGACACGCTGACACACACACACACGATCATATACTCTCACAAAACACACGACTGATTGGCCGTTTACTGGAAGAACCAGTGTCACCCTGCCGGCCTTGAATATGAGAAGAGGAGGGCAGGTCAATGTGAGTGTGTGAGTGTGTGAGTGTGTGTGTGTGTGTGTGTGTGTGTGTGTGTGTGTCTGACAGAATGCCAACTAAGTGGCTTTAAGTGACAGTGCCAGCAGTGTGTTTGTGTGTGTGTGTGTGTTGACTAGGATGAGCAGGTGCAGGTCCACAGTGTGAGCGCTCTGTATGAGAGCCTGTTCTACTTCAGAGTCAATAGGTATCATACGTCTAAAAGTGATATCAAATCTGATATCTGGCGGTCACTACACTGCGGTTAATGAAGAGTTTAATGTGGAAGGGAGACATTTTTTTTTATCGATTCTATTCTGAGCCGGCAGTTAGAAGCGGTTTCTCATTTACTGCACATTAAATTGTAATTATTTTTTAGGCTGAGCCTAATGGGTGTTTAGTGTTTCCTGTTTTCCCTGCTGTCGAGAGCCTCTGCGAATAGACACAATCAGTTCACTGCTTCTGAACAGCAAATGTAAGAGCTGTAAGGCAGATGATATACACAGTATGTTTCCAGCCCACATTAACATGCATATGGTATGACTGTCAACTGTGCAGCTCTGAGTGTGTGTAGATACTTACTGAGCTTTAGTTTCTCATATTCAGGCAGATGGGAGGATGCACAGAGCTGATAGAAGACATGGTAATTCCTTTCCTCGTCCGCCTGGAAGAAAGCATGAAGATAATGTGAGGGAAATGGTACATGTAGTGTAGCATGCTCAGTGAATTCAAATATATCACATGGATTATGAATATTGATCTACCAGAATACATGCAGGGAAAATCATGTGTGTGTCGGAGAAAATGTATTATCTTATGTGCAGTACAATTATACAGTTGAACATCTGGAAGCCTCACTGGAGCAGTTGGTGATTTAGTGCCCTGCTAAAGGGCATATCAACAGATATAATCGAGTCGGATGAGAATAATTTATTTTATACCCGTACCCGTGATGAAGTCCTACCTGATATATCAAACAACTGGCAAATATATGCATAACAATTAATGTTTAGGATGTCAGTAGTGTGTTGTAAACAAACCTGTCACCTGTGTCCTATATTGGTGCTACTACACCCATACTGTACATAGAATATCAACACACACACACACACACCTATAAGTGGGCGGTACTGGAGCCAAGCATGTGAGAAATGTGAGGAGGAAAAGGATAATGGAGTCTGTCAACATCCTCATTCCCCAACAGTGTGTGTGTGTGTGTGTGTGTGTGTGTGTGTGTGTGTGTGTGTGTGTGTGTGTGTGTGTGTGTGTGTGTGTGTGTGTGTGTGTGTGTGTGTGTGTGTGTGTGTGTGTGTGAGAACAAAAATCTGATCTTGACACTGACATACTGGCTCCACCAGTAACTCGGTGAAGACACCATAAAGTTATACAAGAGAAAAAAGTTTGTAAACTTGATCTAACTTGGACACAAACCACCAAATATAATATTGTCTGAGACTTTGGGGGGTGGGGGGGGGGGGCTGTGGAGAGAAAATGATATCTAAAGATGGATTTAGACAAGAAAATGACACAAATTCAATCTAGAGGAAGAATGTCTTTGACATTTTAGGGGGGAGTGTCATGCTGTAACCCAGAGTGACGGACGGATTGTCTCTCTGTTTGCTTTACCTCTTCCTCCTGCCTGTCTTTGTAGAGAACAAATGTTTTACTGCATACTTCTTCTGCTCTAAAGGACACCGGGGCAGGACTGACAGATAGTGTTGGTTCATACTCAGAAACATAGTGCCTCAGTGTGTGTGTGTGTGTGTGTGTGTGTGTGTGTGTGTGTGTCTTCTTGACTGCAGGTCTTCATAATTGTGAAGATGTCAGGCATAAGAAGAGTCCTTTCATTGCCAACATTCACTTCCTGCATAAAATGGCAATTATGTTGTTAAATATTTAAAATGTCGGTATATTTTAGCATTTTTGACCGGGGTCAGCATAATTGTTAAATGATGGGCAACATAAGCAAGAGTGTGTAGGGTTGTTCACACAGGTTCAACACATCAAACTCCCCACCAGTTAGTCAGAATGGATGCGATTTGAAAGAGAGTCGAAATGTCAGATTTTTTTATGTTATGACTTTTAGGTAGCTTTTCCTTTATTTGATGTTAATAGTAAAGTCAGAGACATTGCATGTAGAGATAATAATAGGAGGCTAAAATAAAACTAGGCGTGTTGCAATCATATGGTAGCTGTCTTAGCTAGTAGGTCACTGTGTGCAGTATGCACCAATAAATGGTTACATATAAGTGAGAGGTCGGATATTTCTGAATAGTGAGACACCTCATTGATGCTTTTCAAAGAAACAGGTTATGTACGTTTATTTTCCCGCATGTTGCCTGCCTGTTGTCCAGCTAATAGAGTACCATACTTCACCATATGACACGAGGCAAACGGCTTGCAGTGAACTCATGCATGTGTGCATATGGGTGCAGCACTTAAAACAAATCATGTGTGGGCCACTGGAAGCCAATTAACCACTGAGTCATGGTGACTTAACAGTGCTTTAGGTGTGTGATATGTCATCTACAATTTCACATTCAAGAGACAATTAGTATTTTGAAAGTGATGTTTCAATTTAAGGGTAGACTGCCAAACAACCCTACCAATAATATGCATAATACTCATTACATTTGACTATAATGTAATTGTTTTTATTGTAATGTTTGAAGCAGTTGTTTGTATACACATTAATAAGATTCCAAATGGGCTTTCTGCAGTAATGGTTCAAACTAGGCAGTAAACTATAACTCACAGGTTCTGGATACAGTACAATCATTTTAATGCCTGCATACACACCCCTGAATGTGTTTCGTAATGGCTATAGTACATTGTGTAAATACATTAGTGCTGACAGGCTTTGAAGAATAATTTAGCAAACACACCTTAAATGTCAGGGAATCCTAATGCTGTTACTTACATTGTTTACTTTCTATCATTGTGTGAATTCCTACCTGAACTTTGAAACCTGAGTGAACCTACAGGGATTACTAAAGGTTAATCTAATCTTATCCTATGTTAAACAAGCTAGTATTCATGACAAATGCAATAAGAAATCACAGATCATACTTTTAGAAAATTCTCTTTTGACTGAAATCATGCAGAAAGCCAGAGTGTAAGGTCAGCTGAAGTACCGAGTGTAATCATGAATTAAATGTTCAGAAACATGCTCAAGGACCTCCAGCAGGGACAAAATGTGCCATCAGGAACCTGGTGGCGATTCATGAAGGACACAGCAATGCCACCCTGACTTATGACCGGACACAAAAGTGGTAACAGCATAAAAGAAAGATTAAAAAGCAATAGTAGATGTTGTTAGAGCCAGTATTTTGATTTGATAAGAAACGCCACCTAATTGTGACGTCTGTAGTCAACGCACTATAAAGGACTACAATTCCCACGGCGCCTGGGCTAAAGCCACAGTGATGGGCAACCTGTTGAGAGACGCCGTCGAGGAACAGTTTTTAACCGTACTCGTACCGTACACGTACCGTACACATACATACAAACCGTACAAGTAAACACTTTAAGTTGTGAAGTTATAAGCATTATCAAGAAAGAAAGAATATCTAAGTTGTTTGTTATTTTATTTGAGTTTTGCTTATTTCTTTTGAATATTATAAAGGCCTATTTTTCTTTGTTGCATGTGCAAAAGTTTGTTATTTTATTTTGAGCAAACACATCGCAACATCTTCTAAACCATCGGAGGCCAAGCAACACTTCAAACTGTGAGTAATTTAAAGGAAAGAAACGAGTTAGAACTGTCTGTTCAAGGCTTGATGGAAAGACAAGGAAGGAAGCCACAACAGATGTGTAGAGAAATGTAGATTGGTAATTTGTAACCGAGTCTGTGAATCAGATGGGCTTAGCCAGGGGTAATCGACTGTGATGAGTGGAGCAATGAGTGCAAGTCAATGAGATTTCCACTTAAACAGTACAAACAAAACACCTCGTGTGTGCGTCGAAGCAAACTCGAGTGCATGTGTGCGCCCACCTGAAACACCACTCGTGATTTCTCCAGCAGATATGTTCTCATGTTGGCGCCGATGATACGGAAGCGGGTGTCGAAGCCGATCTCGATGTATTTCCCAAAGCGACTGCTGTTGTCGTTTCGGGTGGTCTTTGCATTTCCAATGGCCTGAGAGACAGAAGAAAATAAAAAAGCAAAACAATTATTATTGAGAATATAGAGAAGCAGTTGCAATATTCCCTTTGTCAAGTTTAACTGTGGTTTGGTATTATGGAGAAGAAAATAAGTACAAGTAAGGAAAAAAGTAACTATATTCAAATGTTTTAGGCGCTTTTATGTCTCGCTCTTTCCCAGGAGTTTGATCTTATTAGCTTAGCTTAGCATAAAGACACAGCGATAAACGGCTATTCTACCTCTCATAACACGATTAAAATTGGCAAAAATGTCCCAATTTGGGATCAACAAAGTACCTCATCTCTTATTGCCTTATCTCAACCAAGAACATTATTCACAAAAATTCTAGCAAGGAGTCGGAGCTTAAGAGTGATTTAGGAAACTTATAGTGGTCAAAGAAAAGGAGAGTGAAATCTAAATAATGACTTTCTGTTAAGTTGCTGTATCATATTGCTTGTTATTTTTTACCTTTTAGTAGTTCTTCTATTTGTGTTACAAGCGGTGAAATGGTGTGGTCTCGCCTTAAGCTTAGTAATTGTGTACTTTTCAGGATACCTTAAGAAAAGGAAAAAGGGGCTTAAGATTTAAAAGTCCTTTTCAGACTTGGGGCTCTCTTTAAAGGCTTTGTGAAAAACTTTTATGAGTATCTAGTATTCGTATAAGGGGCAATACTTAGAAAACCTCATAACATTTTTCTCAGAAGTTCCTTTCAGGGGTCAACTCTCAATACTAGGAAGCTTTATGAATAAAGCCCCTGATCCTTACACTAGCACGCCAGAACCTCTCCTACTGTCCTGAGATAAGATCGAAGAAATGTGTGGTTGATCCCCACGAACAAACATCTTCTAAAGGACTTCTGTTGTTCTACTACCCATCAGCAAATCACACCGGAAGTAAGCAGCATTAGTTCAAGATACGGAATTGATCAATGACCCTACTAGGAATAGTTGGTAGACGGGCGAGGCTACACACGCACACACACGCTCACACACCAGCTATTTGAGCAGACGGCTTGAACAGAGTTAAATGGTGTGTGAGCAGAGGGTTCTTGCTGAGTTAAGGCT